TGGAAGGACCCCCATCACTACTCAACTCGGTCGCCGGGAAAAGGGAACATTTCTTTCCCGGCACCATCCAGGTCTTCTACTCAAGGGTGAGGGTGGAACAGTCGTCGGAAAGGCTAAGTCTCAAGCCTCAAACGCAGCAGATCAGCTGTCTTGGTACCAGTGCTGTTGACTGAAACATCACCGATGCGTTTGTTTTCTCATCAGTTCAACTCATGGCCATCGAGTGGATGCCGACTCAAAGCGACCCTAACGGACTGGGTAGAACTGCCTCTGAGTTTCCGAGACTGTAGCTCTTTACGGGAGTAGAAAGCCTTGTTGTTCTCCCTTGGAGAGGCTGCTGGTTTTGAACTGCTGATCCTGTGGTTGGCTAGCAGTCCAATGTGTCACTATTACGCCACAAGAGCTGCTTCTCAAAGCCAAACTCACTGTCATCAAATCAATGCGACTCATAGCAACCCCGTAGGACAGGGTAGAACTGCCCCTGTGGGTTTCCAGGGCTGTAACTCTTAGAAAGTAGGAGTAAGTAGAAAGCCCCTTCTTTCTCAGGCTGAGTGGCTGGTGGCTTCCAATTCAAATGCATATGTATTTCTTTCTTTGTGTCCCCTCTGCAGGAAGGGCCTTGTATCTCTTTAGCTTCTGCTTCCAGTGTCTTGGGGATGCCCTTGGCGCTTATCTTAGCCCCATCTCTGCCTGCCAGATGATTTATTCTTGTTTATATCTCAAAAGAGATGGACTCAAGATACAGCCTGTACTAATCCCGCCGCATTAACATAGCAAAGGCAACCCCTTCCCAAATGGGGCTGTAGCCAAGGCATGGAGGTTAGGGTTTACAGCATACATGTCAATACAATTCAATCCACAACCTGCTCCCTAGGCAAACCCACATCTTCAGGGTGGGGTTAGGGGGCGGTGGCTCTGTCCCTGTGACTCAAAAGGGGATGTTTCAAATCTTCTCTGCCAAGAGAAAAAGTACCAAAAGTGAGCCCAGGGCAACAGGGCTCCAGTCTTCAGCCCACACCTGGCTCACCTGTCATTCAGCCGCTCCAGGAGGTAGGAGCCCAGGCCAGACCCGGTCCCTCCAGCTATGGAATGACACAGCACAAACCCCTGTGTGGGGAGGGGGAGGAGGGCAGGTTCCAGTTAAGGGGGAGAGATGTTTCAGAGTGGTCACATTCCCTGTTTCCAATGCACCCATTTCTCAAGGTCTGCTCTGTGAATATCCCAACAGGCTCTGTGAAAGTGCTGTACCCAGAGGAGAGATGAAATGATGTCCCCATCAAGGTCATGGTCTCCGGGAGGGCAAGACTATTTATCCTAGCACCCCAGCATGTATGCAGCAGGTACCTGAGAAATGGGCTTTGAACAGGATTGTCCCGTCAGACCACCTTGAGCAGGCCACTTCCTGACCTTCCCCAGTACTCCCCATCTCTGATTTTTAAAATTTTATTTTTTGTGGGCAGAGGATCTCACCTCTAGGCTGTCACTCCCATCTGCCTCTCTGTCTATGATGTCAAAGATGTCTTCGTGGATTTTTTCACCCTGTGTAGAGACATAAGATCCCTTGGCCTGGCTGCCAACCGAAAGATTAGTGCTGGGACCCACCCAGGGGCCCTGAGGCAGAAAGGGCTGGCAACCTGCTCCTGTGCATATCTCAGCCTGTAATCAGACAGTTCTGCTCGGTCGCATGGGGTCGCTGTGATTAGAAAACAGACTCAGTGGAGCCCAACCACCACACAGAGAAATGGGGAGAGAAGGCCAGGGATGAAAGGTTCTGGAGAGCATCGATTTGCAGCCACGAGAGTTCCTCCTGGGACGCAGAGACTACCTATCCACAAGCAGAAACTGCTGCGGACCTCAAACCAGGCTGGCTGCTTTCCAAGTGATTTGTACACTTGCCCACACCTCCCCCTGGCATTCCCTCTCGTCAGGGTAGCCCTTTTGTCTCTTATTTCTTGTCAATCTAATCTGGTCTAATGCCCAGGGTGGAACTATCTAAAGTGCCTGGGATGGATGGCCCACCGCTGGGGCACCTGGGAGAATCCGCTGGCCCAGTTGTTGCCCGCGCCGCCGCCATGCTCCGACAGGTAGATGTTCTCCGGGTTGTAGAGCTTGGCATAGGGGGAGTTGAGGATGGAGTGGATCACCCGGGGCTCCAGGTCCAGCAGCACCGCCCTGGGGATGTAGTGCTCATCGTCTGCCTGGCAAAGGAGTGCGGGGATGTGTGTGCAGTCAGCGGGGGGCTGCCCAGTTCTGCACCACCCAATCAACTGGGGCGTCTGCCAGTCCTCCCTGCGCCAGCCAGCAGCCCTGCCCCCTCTGCCCCGCGGGCCCAGGCTCTTCCCTGGGGTCCCAGTGCCCTGTGGGCCCTGGCCAAGCCGCTGGGGGCACCTGGTAGAAAAAGACGTCTTTTCGGTCTGTGCCTTCAGTGGCGAACTCCTCCACGATGCCCTCGGGGCTGATGCCATGCTCGGCGCAGAGCTGTTTCCAGAACTCGAACCCAA